TTAACGGCATCTTGATGTCTATGCCTTGGGGGTTTCGGACTAACACAATGCTTTATGTAACCAAACGCTTCAGAAAATATTAATATGTATATTTAATTCTGATTCAAATTGACTTAGTTTATCAGTGTTTTAAAAGCCATAAAACAAAAAAAGTGTATTTTTCACTAGGTATGGTTAGTGATGCCATAGAGGTCTTTTGTTTAGTGTTCTAGAAATTAATGTAGTTTATCCTGGTTTTAATGTTGCTTCTGTCTGTCCTTATGCAAACATGTGGAGCTCCCAGAGCCTAGCACGTAGCAGGCCCAGCAACTGACAGACAGACAGAAAGACTGACTGAAAGAATGGAAAACCTTTTCTCCTCCCACGTTATCTAAAGTTAAGCTGGCTGGAGGAGGGAGGTGGATTCTCTGGGGGTGACGGGGGGCAGGAGAGAGCAGAGCAGGCTGAGGATGAGGTCCTGGTTATAAAAGCATTACCTGGACAAGTGCATGACCTTATGGAAGCCAAGTGCAATCACAGTGAACCTGGTTGCTGTGAGACATTGCATTCAGGCAGACAGAACAGACCCTCATGAATTCAGAATGTGACCTGTTATGTGCTGGAGGCAAGAGCACTGGTATCTGGGTGACTTAACTGGTTGATTATATTATTAAAATAAACAATTATACGTCTTCCTTCTTTTCTTTTATCAGTTGAACCATTTACCTTGGTAGTAACCTCCTAGGCTTTAATCACCCCCACAAGTTAGCTACTTAGCTGACCAGTGTGCACTTAACCTCTCTGGGAATCAAACTTATCTTTTGTAGTTAAACTGAACTGAATTACAACATGAGGCGGTTGAATAAATGCTCTCTAAAGTCCTTCTCTATGCTAGGATTCTGTGAAATGCCCATCTTGGTGTGAATATTGATCAGCCCAGATAAATGTGCAGGATGTCATGACAGGATAGAAAGCTCCTTCTAGCAGTGAACCATTTCTGCTATTTTCTCTCCAAGAAAAGCTACACAGTGACCCCCTAACTCTCTGGAGTGTTAACCATAGTCTGTGGCATTTGATCAAGGGAAGAGAAGGAGTATCTGACTCTTTACAAGCTTAGTGGCTCTCACCTGCCAGTTGGCTATGCCAGTCCATGAGCTTACTATAAATATTGGTTTATTTTAGTTTGGGGAAGAACAACTTGACCTATGGTATATTCAAATCTCTATAATCATATATGTGTTATCAAGGAATCCTGCTGAATCTTCTGCCATGGTTCAAAAGTAATACTAGCAGTGACCTTTTCAGTTTACTCTTTCATTCCTGACCATCTCGGGAATGTTTAAAGCAGGGCACAGAGCTGATGGAAACTGGCTCCCCTGACCAGCAGGAACATATGTGGGGCAGCTTTGATGTGACGGATGGGAGAGAGGTTGCTGATAGGGCTTGCTAATAATCCAGCGAGGTGATGTCATTCTTGGCAGAGCCCAGAAAGAGAAACAAGAGGCCAACAGCTCTCCTTGGCTGATAAAGTCCCTTCAGGCTTCCTTTACTCTGCTATTGCTAAGCAGATGAGATTGGAAAGTTCTGTGAGCCCAGCTGAGCTGTATTACCTCCTGGGGATGGGAGGTTTTGTCAAGAAATCTTGGGTCTCTAGCTGGTTTACATAAATCCCTCAGAAAGTTTTGCACTGCCTCTGAAAATACTCCCTGGAATAGAGATTTATAATAGAGCTGGGAGATAATTAATTCCTGGGGATACAGTCCTTTGTGCTAGAATTGCTTCACTCCATACGGGAGAGATTGAAGTTCTTCTAGCCTTTGAGTCTCTCCTGATTTTGGATGGTCAAGGAAGGGAATAGAACAGGACTCAGGGAAGAGAAGAGGAAACTTGATGGGACTTTTTTTTTTTGTATAAAGTGATTTATTTAGAGAGAGAGAGAAACAGGAGGAGAAAAAGAAATAGCTAATTCTCATGATAAGTGAGAGAATCTAGAAAGGTGGAATCCAGGAGAGGAAAGCAGTTTCCACACTGAGTAGAAGGGAATACAGAGAGATGGAGTTTAGGAGGAGAAGACAGGCTTCCACAAGAGCGTGGAAGGGGACTCCAGAGGGGAAATCCAGGAAAGAGAAAGATGGCTTCCACAAGAGTGTTCGTGGAAGGGGACTCCAGAGGGGAAATCCAGGAGAGAGAAAGATGGCTTCCACAAGAGTGTTCGTGGAAGGGGACTGATGGGACTTTTTATTCAGGAATTATGAAACAAACCCATGCTATTGAATATAATGGATCTCTTTTTCTTTTGATTTCTGAATTTTTCTTAAACCAAGGACCCATGGAATCCTCATGTTTCCAGGTAGAGTGACTATCTGGTGGTTTTCCTCCGGTACAGCCTGGTCCTGGTAGCATGTGCCTGTACAGCCAGTGGCCCCTCTTCAGTTGGCCTGCCACTTCCTCAGTGTCTGCACTTCTGACCCTTTGACGCTTTAGGACAGATGCTCATCCTGATGTGGGAGCCAGGTAGAGCTTTATCTGTACTCATTAGGGAAGCCCTGAGACATATTCACTGCCTTGAGGAAAAGCATCCACTATAAGAATGCAGGACCTAGTCTGCAAGGAGCTCCATAAAACCTAGGACACTTGGTCATGATATTCCAAGCTGTTGAACTTTCTTCAAGGGGTGGAAGTTTCTATGTTGGCTTAAAAAAGTGCATTATTTGCCAAATTGCCTAGGAATACAGGCCTTTGCACAAAGGAAAAGCACATTCTTTTTAGAATCATTAAGAATAACAGGCTTTTATGTGGCCAGTGATGTTCTCAGTGATCATTCTACAGAAATTTTGCAAATAAGTATATTTCTTGATTTATAGAATAGATACCACCTAGCAGGCTTGGAAAGAGAACAAATGCTGGTAAAGCAGATGATATTTTCCAGTTCACTTTTATGATAATCAGGGCTCTGTTGCCATGGAAAAAATCCATCAGTATGCCGAGTTGAAAACAGTTGGGAAGAAGGCTGATGGATATTTCCAATCCTGTAGAGTGCAACACTCACCCATTTCACAAATACTTACTGAAAGACTACTATGTACCACAGCGTGTCTAGGAGCAAGGGAAATGGCAGTGAACAAAGCAGAGACTAATCTCTACTCTCTCTTGAGAGTGCATACTGGAAGGACAAGACAGACAATTTAAAAAATAGCTAAAATGTAGACTACATCAAATGGTAATAAATGCTATGGGAAAAACAAAAGCAGGGAAGGCACGTAGGGAGAGCCAAAGTGGAAGTGGGAATGGACAGGGAAGGCTTTGCTGAGAGGATGATATTCAAATGAGGGCCTGAAGGAAGGGAGGGAGTATGCTTTGAGGCTACTGGGGATGATCATTCAGGAAGACGTGCACCAAGTGCAGAGGCCCTGCGGCAGAAGCCTGGCATGCAGAGGAGCAGTATAAAGGCCAGTGTGGCTGCGCTATGGTGAACAAGCAGAACAGGAGGAAGAGGTCAGAGGCAGCAGGACAGCAGGCTGTACAGGCCTCGTAGGGCCTGCCATCATCTGTTTCTAGGATGACTTCTCTGCCACTGGCCCTTCTCTTGACACATATATCCATAGCTCAGCATCCTAGAGGCTTAGCTCCTCTTCTGAGCCACTGTTTCTTCTATGGTCACCACCACTGTGGAAGCCCTCCCTGGCATGCAGAGCACTCATTACCTCCTAGGTCTTCCTGTACAGCTACAACAGTTCATTTATGTGTCAGTTTCATTGGGCTAAGGGATGCCCAGATACAACTGGTAAGACATATTTCTGGGTGTGTGTGTGAGGGTGTTTCTGGAAGAGATTAGCCTTTGAATCAGTAGAATAAGTACAGAAGATCTACCATCACTAGTTTGAGCGGGTATCCTTTAATCCACTGATGGCCTGAATAGAACAAGGCAAAGGAAGGGAAAATTCTGTCCTCTTCTTGAGCTGGAGCATCCATCTTGCCTGGTGCCAGTCATCAGAGTTCCTGGTTCTTGGGTCTTTGGACTCCAGGACTTAAACTAGCAGCTTTCCTGGCTCTCTAGCTTATCGACAGTATATCATGGCACTTTCTCTGCTTGTATAATCACTTGAGCCAATTCCCATAATAAATCTCCTGGTATAGATCTACATACATTCTATTGGTTCTGTTTCTCTGGAGGACCCTAATAAAACCACCATGTCGAATTGCATAACTTCCTGTGTATGTATGTCTTCACTTTCCATCAGGATTCTTGCTCAGTTGGAGTAAAGCCATGTGTAGCCTTTTTCCTTATTTTCTACAATAGTTGGCATGGAATTAGGCACTCAGCAAACACAAGGAAAATGCCTGCTGCTTAGAATCTTCAACTCTACAGTTAAGGCCTGAAGAACGTCATCAGTTCTTTCTCTTTTTGTCTGAGTCTGAGGGAGAGTACTGTTAGAGATAGTCTAATCTTGACTACTAATCAATATTCTTTTAAGTACAATGATCTAATACAAGAAATATTTTGGCCCCAAGTTCCAGAGTTACAGAATTTCAAAGTTTGCTACATGTGCCCTACTTTTTAGTTTATAACTGGAAAATAGTGCACGTTTTAAAAATAATTCTGAATTTGCTCTTTGCTTAAAATAAAAAATAGGTTCTTATTTTTAATTTTTTTACCTTTCAAACCGTGAAGATACAATATTCTAAAATTCTTAGGCTGACTCTTAGTTTAGGGCAAGAATGCGTACCTTTTCTAAACGGAGTTCTATACTATATACCATGGAGCTTCCTGAAGGTCGGTATCTCACCGTGTTCCTGTGGGTTTCCCATTGTCTAGAGACATGTCTCTAGATATATCTCTAGACCAGATAATATCTGGTCAATAAATGCTGCTGTGTAAAAACTATCATCGTCCCCATTTTATAGGTGAGAAAGTTATAATTCAAAGTGGTTGTAATTTGCTGAAGGTCACACAGAAAATTAGTGGCAAATTTGGAACTAAAATCCATTTTTTTCTGACAAAGTTGGTTTGAGTCAGGGCTCCCAGATTTTTTGTTAGCAATCAGCATTTTGGAATGCATAATAGGAGATACAGGGGCTCTTTGTTTTGTATTTTGTAAACTTGACACATAACTCTGAGCGGACAAATGGGGCAGCTTCTTGGATCCCTGTCTGGTAGAAGCAGGAAGATGTGAGGCTTCTGAGGAGAGAGCAGGAGAAAGGATCCAGGATCACAGCTGGTACCTGGAGAGCACACTAAGACAGCTAAAGCAGGAGCCTAGGAGGAAGATAGTGACAGGGGCACTTGCTATTTTTGTCTGTTGTCAAAAAAGTTATCTTACACTTCCTCCATGAGTCCTGTGGTTTACAAGTATTTGGATGAATGTCGTTAGATGGTGTGACAATATCTGGATACAAATAAGGTATTTTATTACCAGGTATGGTGACACACACCTGTAGTCCCAGCTACTCAGAAAGCCAAGGTGGGAGGATCACTTGGGGCCAGGAGTTCAAAACCAGCCTGGGTAACATAGCAAGAATCCATCTCTACCAAAATTTTTAAAAAATTAATAAGGCAGCTGGGTGCGGTGGCTCATGCCTGTAATCCCAACACTTTGGGAGGCCAAGGTGGGCAAATCATGAGGTCAAGAGTTCGAGACCATCCTGGCCAACATGGTGAAAGCCCGTCTTTACTGAAAATACAAAAATTAGCTAGGCATCATGGCACATGCCTGTAGTCCCAGCTATTCAGGAGGCTGAAGCAGAATTGCTTGAACCCAGGAGGTGGAGGTTGCAGTGAGCCAAGATCGTGCCAATGCCCTCCAGCCTGGTAACAAAGTGAAACTTTGGCTCAAAATAAAAAATTAATAGGGCATGGTGGCACACCTCTAGTCCCAGCCACTTGGGAGGCTAAGGTGGGAGGATCGCATGAGCCCTGGAGTTCTGGGCTGTAGAAAGTTATGCTGATCAGGTGTCCATACTAAGTTCAGCATCAATATGGTGACCTTCTGGGAGCAGGGGACCCCCCGGTTGCCTACGGAGGGGTGAACGGATCTGCCCAGGACAGAAATGGAGCAGATTAAATAAGCCATTTTGGTAGAAACACAAGTGATTTCTGGTTATTAGGCACTAACTAGGAGGGCAGAAAAGCTGTCCAGTCAGGAGCCAGGAAGAGACATGAGCAAGAAGAAATGTTCCAAAAACTCTGATTCCTGGAGCAACCCAGGCCTGGGAAGGAAGATCTGTAAACTGGTCTTTAACTGTAGGTGGATGGGTAAGTGGGAAGGAGGAGGCTGTCATCTTGGCAGGGCTTCCTCCTTTCTCAGGAATGGAGAATGGCAAGGTGAGAAAGTCTACTACCAGCATTGTGGGATCAGCCTGACACTTCCAGCTCCTACCTTCTCAAACCAATGGCTCATCTTTGGCTGTGTCCTCTTGGGTAGATCCGAGGGAAGCCGTGGATCTGGAGAGTTGAGTTCTAGCCCTAACACTGACACTCAGTATATGGCCTTAGACAAGCTTCCTACCTCTCTTGCCATCCATTATGTAAAAGGAGGTTCCTTAACAAATGATCTCTAAGATCCTTCAGCTGAACATTTTATGACCCTCTGACGTACTTCCCTCAGGTCACCAGTACTGGTTTGCTGAAGATGGTGTTTGATGGAGAGGAATGAGAAAGGATGGGTCATTGTGGAAAAGCTGGCTGGGAGGCCAAGGATGGGTCATTGTGGAAAAGCTGGCTGGGAGGCCAAGGAGGGGTCTTTGTACAACTTTGACATCTGTCCGAGATAGCACAGATTTGGTCAAGTAATTCCTTTGGCATCTCTTTCTTCAGATCTAGTACCACTGGGGAAAGAAATATGGGAAAGATATCCAGGCCACATTGTGAAATAAAGTCCTCTTCACATTTTTGCCACTAACTAAAACCTACATCCAGGTACCATTTAGCTGAACTTGCACAGCTGACTCGGGCCTCCAACGCACACATTCCTGCCCTGCCTACAGTTTCCCAACCTATCATTCCCATTTCAAGATAAATGACCTACGTACTCAGCTGAAGCTATTTTCACCAAGCATGTACATAGTGCCCACCCTTTTACTCAGAAACCACAATCAAACCAAAGCAAACCAGAAGGATCGAAAGGCAAACATACTGGTGGAAAAAGTAGTGACACCCTCCTTAAAGAGCCTTTTGGAGCCTCTTCGGTTTATAAATAGTGACTAATTTAACTCCATAAAAATAAATTGGCTCTGAGTCAGATCATTTGGGTTTGCTTGTGAGAAGATGAATTATGTAGCAGATCCAGCCAAATATTGTAGCCTAAATATTGGCCCTATTAGAACTGTTGAGCTGAATTTTTCAGAACAAAATTCATAACATTCCTTCCCTCCTGATTCTGTTACTGCCTCTAGTGCACCTTTTTTTCTGTTTCTTAAGCTCTAGACAGGAGCCCCCAGAGCAACCTAACCCTCGTTGACATATGCAGTTTTCTGATTTATGGGAATCATGAAAGATTACTGTACTTTGTCTGAACGAAGGTCCTCAGTGTGGCAACCTTGCAAAGACCACAAACGTGGATACTTACCTGCCGCAGCCAGGCCTCATGGCCTTTGAAAGGAGCCATTCAGCGTGTAGGCTACAGCGTGGGCATACGTTGAATTCTGTGGGCTTGCTTCTGCTGGATGATTCTATGGATTAGGGAGCTTCTCTGGGTTCTGTGTAAAAGTTCACTGTAAACATTTGCTTAGTCTGTGCATGGTAAACATTTACAAGCCTCTTAGAGTTCATGGGACAAAGTGGCGGGATTACCGTGAAGGGTGCCCGTGGCTGCCAAAGCTCCAACTTTAAAGGCTCAGCTGGAGTTGTCTGGGCTCTGTGAGTAGTTCACACAAGAAAGACCAGAACTAGACCCAGTCTGACCCCTCGGGTTGATGAGGGCTGGAGTCAGGGCAAATAAAGACCCAGACAGAGACCTAACCAGTATGTATAAGCTTAAGTATGTTTCCTTGGATGAAATGCTGGTTCTCACTGGCGACTTCTGCCTTATGGAGAGAGATGGGGAAAGAGGGAATTTCCTCCCTTAGCCTTCCTTTGTTGCCTTGCCATTTTCCTGCTGAGCCTGGAAAGTGTGGGGAAGGAAAGAAAGCAGTATGGGGCAGTGGTTAAGAGCTCACACTGTGAGTCTGGCAAGACAAACACTCATATCCACGTCCACCACAGCTTAATGAGCCTTTGTGGTTACGGGCAATGAACAGCCCAGGCCCTCCTTGGCTAGAGCTTAGATCCAACTTGAATGAGAGTGCTTAATTGTTTTTCTCACTAAAGTAACAGAACCTTGGCTTTTTCAGGTGGCAGCCTGAGTGAGCGAGCTGAGGGGGTCTGGGCAGGTGACAAAGTAAAACAGAGAAAGAAGGTTCTCAGAAGAAAAGGGCTTCAGGACAAGCTAAAACATGGCCTGGGTCACAGGGCATCCCTGGTGAGCTTGACTCTTCTCCATCTTGAATTTTTCTGCATTATAATTATCTTTATTAGCCCCTCACCCTACAGGTTAGTATGTGTCTGCTTTTCACAACACCTTATTTAGTGTTTAGTAGGGTCTTGGGGGAGAGGAAGGAAGAGAAGTGTGCAGAGTTGGCAAAAGTGGTACCAAATGGAGGCAGCAGCTGTAGGAGCTGAGAATGGTGCCTGGGACCCAGGAGACAGCAGAGAACCAGGTCACGATGTGAATCATCTCAGGACTAAGCAGGAGACCAATCCCCCTCTATTAATGGAAAGAATACTGGTGCAAAGAAGGAGGGGGCTATGTGGTGGTCTGGGCTGCCGTAGTATGTCAGATAAGGAAAGATAAACCCATTTTATTTGAACATTAAGAGCTTGACCTCAGAAGACAAAAAGACTTGAAAGTGATCCAGAAGGCAGACATCAGGCATAGGACCTGGAGTTGAGGTATCCTTAGAACTTTTTTATTCAGATGCTGGGCAAAGGGTTATGCAGCTCTCTTGAATCTCCTTCATGCCTGTTTGGGTAAAAACAAGGGTCTCTGAGATACAGATAGCCATGAAAGGTCCTCCAGGACACTCACACTGTCAGAAGTCCATTGTCGGCTGTCTCCGGTCATCCTCTCTTCAGCCACCTCCAAATACTCAACCACCACCATCTCTTTCTCAAGCCACTGTGGTCAAACATGGTTCCAGAACCTGATAGTGGAACCAACCCTGATTCCATGTCAGCAGCACATGGCACATTCCAGAGAACCACTGTTCCCACATCCAGCTTTATCTCCCAAGGGTGTCCCATGACATTTTGTGAAGCTCCATCATTTCCTAATCCATGTCTGCACTTCCTAAGACAAAACACAAAGTGGATCAAGGGAAAGGGGCGTGTGGCTAAAATTCTAAGCTCTCTTGGGGACAGCTTCCCTCTGCAACCTTACCTTTGTTATTCTGTTCACTTGGGGAGGCAGCAAAGTCCAGCCCCAAGGACCTCTGGAACCTGTTCCTAAGGTTCTATTCAGTCATCTTTGGAAGGTGTGGGTAGTGAGAAACTGCCAGGGCAAGGGACCTTCTCATCCCTGACCCTCAGCAGCAGGGGTTAGCTGGAGTCAGGGAAGGCTCGGTGGTTGCCCGGCACTTCTGTTTTCTCTCTATATTCCTGGTGTCTAGATCGGCACGAAAAACATATGGTAACCACCTAGAGAAGAAGCATGTGGAGGGGTGTATGCAATCACCCACAGGGAAAATCAAGGCTACCTGGAACAACTGTTCACTCTGAATGATTATGATAGAGCCCCCACCTTTAATGTGCTCTCAATGATTGTGATACAAGCCCCACCTTTAAGGAGCTCCAAGTTACTTGCTTGAGTTAAAATGGACCACAAGCCTCCAAGTTGCAGACTCACTTAAGGCGTAGACAAGCACTGGAAAGGTCTTCACCTCTTCTTCCTTCTGCTCCTTTTTGCAAATCAAAAAGTAGTGTCATTCTCTAGAGAAACAAAAGCAGCTTCTCTGTAATGCTTAGCTTGCCTGATTGACACGCAAATTGGCAATTTTGCAAATTTCCTTGAAAATTTGCTTTCCCTTCCCTGACTTATCTATAGCAACAGTGTTACAACAGGGCCATTCAAGGCAGAGTCACCCCTTTCAAATGTCTCCAGAAAAGAGTCACCCATTTGTATTTTTAATAATTACTTGATAGAAACTTGAAAGGGACATGTCTTCTAGGAAGATTCTGGAACAACCTGAGAGAGCCTGGTTACATCATGCTCTAGGATTCATTCACCCTATTAATATATTGAAATATGTTTGCACAAACTATGACACAAAAAGAGTCTTCAGCTGGAGGATGGATATCTTTTTGTCATAAGCAATATATGTTTTTCTGAGTTTATAACCAAAGTTTCTCCCAAAATGTGAAATTATCTTAACTTCTCTCACATTCAATCTCTCATCCATCAGCAACTATGTTGTTCTTGTGTTCAAAACTGCCCAGTCGCTATCCTTGTTAGGGGGACTTTGCAAAAGCCTTCCTGCCTCCACCCTGGCTGATCTTAGTCAATTCTCCAACAGGAGCCAGAATAAACTTTGAAAATATGTCAAGCCATCTCACTCTTCTGTTCAAACATCTAATAGCTTCTCATCTTACTCAGAATGAAATCCAAATTTTTCAGCAGGGCCCACACAGCTCAGCTTATCTCCCAGTGCCCTCCCACCTTGTACTCTGTTCTTACCCCAGTGGCTTCCTAGACTAGCAAGTCTTTGAACAAAAACAAGCCTGGACCCCAGGGTCTTTGCACTTGCCATTCTCTCTAAGGAGAACACTGAGTCTTCTCCTGTCAGAGTGCTCACTTCTTTCCTCAGAGTCTCTGGTGAACTACTATCTTGTCACTGAGGCCTTTGACACCCCAATCGCTGTCTGTCCTGCCCTGCTTTAGTTTTCTTTATGTCAGCAGGGATTTTCTTTTTTTCTTTTCTTTCTTTCTTTTTTATTTTTATTTTTTAGAGACAGGGTCTTACTCTGTCCCCCAGGCTGGAATGCTGTTGTATAACCATAGCTCGTTGCAGCCTCAAACTCCTTGCTTCTGCCTCCTGAGTCACTGGGACTACAAGTGGGTGCCACTGTGTCTGCATAATTCTTACATTTTTTGTAGCGATGGGATTTCACTGTGTGGTCCAGGCTGGTCTTGAGCTCCAGGCCTCAAGCCATCCTCCTGCCTTGGCCTCCCAAAATGCTGAGATTACAAGCGTGAGCCACTGCATCTGGCCTATGAATAAGAATTTTCTTTTGTTCACGGCCATATGCCAGTGCCTAAGACAACACTGGGCACAGAGCTGGAGCTCACTAAATATTTATTGAATGGATGAATGAATTCCTGGTCCTAATGCTCTGTATCCTCAGCTGGCAGCAATGCCCCATAAAGCTGTAGGTGGGGATGTCAACAAAAAGAAACTATTTAGATGGTCAAGGCTTTTTAGAGAAGAAGTGAATGTAAAAGAAATATTATACAAAAAGTAAGGGAAAAGAAAATAAGCAGAAAGTGATCCTGGATAGTGCTCACCCATTCACTGAACCAAAGCCAGGCCAGATTTGTTCTCTGCAGTTGCTGAAATCTGGTTCTTGTCACAAATCGACCTAGACATCTATTTTGATACACATATTATATGTCTCTTGGCATGCAGAGTACTCATATCGTTTACTAGATTTATTAAAATGATGGAAAGCGGTGTGAAATGCCTCCTGCCATATGGGAAAAGAGGTGAAAATGCTGACATTTGGCTTTTAGCCAATTTCACAAAAGTTTACAGTTTCAGACTTTTTTTCTCCTCCTGGGTGTGGTGACTCTGTCTTATCAAACTTCTATCCTCTGAGTAGCCATAAAGACATGTCTGTGCATCTGGTGGTATTTTAATATTCAAAGAACCATATTCTTATGTGCACGGAAACTGACATTTTGGCCCAGCTGTTACAAGAAGACTTGAAAAGACTTTCTTTGCCCTGCTAAGTCTGTCTTCCCATATTTCACTTTACTTAACTTTGGTGAGTAGGAATATGCTTGGAGAAAATGGACCCGTTTGATATACTAACGACTGAGTCCCACCATGTGCCCAGCCTGGGCCCACATGGGGAGTATGGTCAGAGCAGTCTCTGCCTCCACCACTCACCTGTCCTTTAGACAAGTCACTGACTTCTCTAAGCCTCACCACCCAATCTGCTAGCACCCGCTTCCAGCCACCATCATCTGAACCCTTGCAGGAGCCTCCTAGCTGATCTCCTGGTCTTTCAGTCTCCTCAACTGTAAGTAGAGACTGAACAGGGCCCTCCACATGGGGTTGTGAAGATGAGATGAGCTGGTCCATGAATGTGCTTTAGCATGGTGCTGGCACAGAGATCCTCTGTAAAATTTTACTGGATATTATCATTCCTTTTCATTATGATTATAACTCATGGTTCAGTGGGCCTCATTTATTGGGAGTTGAAAGATCTTTTCCCCTTCATTGTACTTCTTTTCTAGATTCTATTTTTGATTTAAGTGAGTCATTTTGGCTAGAGAACTAGTCATTCTAAACTGCATATTATGCACGTTTTTAGATTTTGTTTGCACCTAAAAGCCAGCCTGGCAGGGATGTGGTCAAAATACATCCCAATGTCATGTAATTGCCCTGTAATATACAAACATGGCTTTTGGTGTTACTGAATCTAAACGTCCAAATTATCTTACAAATACTGTCATGAAGTCAGATGAACAGAAAAAAACCCAACTCCTCCTCAAACCCACACATACCTCACCTCACAGCCCCCATATTCATGTAGAAGACATGGTCTCAGCCCTCAGGGAATTTAGGTTCAAATAGAGATGACAGCTAATAAACAAAGAAGTGTGCGTTGTACGTGTGTGTATGTGATTCATCCAGTGAAGGGAAAGAACACAGTGAACAAATGCTGTCTTTCAAGAAGACTCAACGTATTTCAGTTGTGTGCTAACTTGGGAGTCTAGACTATCTTCCAAAACTCACCACACACGTTTCCATAATGCCAGGTAAAGTTTTAAGTAGCTTCTTTGGAAATAGCCTCCTTTAGATACTCTGATCCCTTAAATACAATAAAGCTCACAGGATTGGAGCTGTCTGAGACTCTGACTATAATCCTTATCCTTCCAAAAGAAATGGGAAATAAATATATATATGTGCATTTAAAAAAATGTTTATTGAACATCTAATATAGGTACAGCATACATGGTATTCCTCCCACACTGGGAGCATCTACATGAACACAGCCTTTGCTCCAGAGGGGTCTGAGAATCAGTCCACTGGCAATAGGCTTTCCAGATGGTAATCACACACATGGCTTTTATTCTTTTGCTTACCTGTCCTCATGTGGTGTTTTACATTTGTTTACTATCTGGCAGATACTTATAGCATTCTGTTTGCAGTGTTAACTGTATAGCAGGAAAATGTTAGCCTGTAACAAGAGTCTGTAATTCTTCCAGAAAAAAATTCTGTTAATATTCAGATGAATATTATAGGTAATTAGAACCATATACTCATCACCAACTGAAATTAACTATAGATCAGAGAGTAATTGTTTAAGAAGAATAATGCAGTTTTGCCTCCTTTGTACAGATAGCATCAATGGGTGATAAGGGTTTCCATGTATGTGTTGTAGGATTATCCTAAGACTTCAGGTCCAAAATATTCATCTTGACTACTTTAGATGAAATGATTTTAAAGATGTAATTCTGTATTTCTTGCCATTTTTGCATCCAGTGACTGAACATATTTCAACTTCTTTTTGATGACTCAGAGTCCTCACCTTGAGCATGAATAATTTCACTGTGCTACAGATAAACAGTGACGTCAGGGCCTGTCGAGTTAAGAGCTGCACTGGGAAAACTCCTAGGTAAATGGTCTCAGGGCCTTAGCTTTATTGAGCCTTTACAACTTTTCTAATTCTTCCCTAAATGTCAGGTTTTTACCTGTGACTGTTTTGCGTTTGTCTCTAGCAACCATTTCCCACCCTCGGCCTTGTATTCAGGAACTACGTTTTGAGCATTCGCTGTGTGGCAGGGCTTGCCTCTATCTGCAGAGGAGACAGTTAGATGGAGACTGCAGTACCACAGACCTACCCACATGGAGCATACCTGCTGGCGGGAGAGTCAAACAGCAAACAAGCCGCAGTTAAGCAAGATGATTCTCCTTTGCTTTGGTCTGGGGCAGTGAATAATCATACTTAGGAGGGGTAAGCCTAAATTGAGAATAAACAGCATCTAGGCCAGCCATCGTGGCTCATGCCTGTAATCCCAGCACTTTGGGAGGCTGAGGCAGGCAGATTGCTTGAGGCCAGGAGTTTGAGACCAGCCTGGTCAACATGGTGAAACCCCATCTCTACTAAAAATACAAAAATTAGCCGGTTGTGGTGGCAGGTGCCTGTAATCCCAGCTACTTGGGGGGCTGAGGTGAGAGGATTGTTTGAACCTGGGAGGCGGAGGTTGCAGTGTGCCAAGATGGTGGCACGGCACCCCAGCCTGGGTGACAGAGCAAGACTCTGTCTCAATTTTTAAAAATAAATAAGTAAAATAAGAATATATAGGATCCAAGAACCTTGTATGCTTAGAGTCCATTTCTATTTACTTCTTAGCAATTCCCAAGCAATGGGACTATCCACTTCATGGCTCTTCAGAAATGCAGAGCTTTAGTTTTTCCACAGGATACTGAGCATATTGAAAATGGCTCAGTATCACTAGAACCAAACAGCCCTTTGCCTGTAATTTAAAGTTGAGGACAACATGGCATCTGAGAGGCTACAGAATTCAAAATTCTAGTCATGATTTGCCTTCATCTCCAGATTTTTATATGTAACTGCCAAGTCCACCTCTTTATGTAGATGTCTCAGAGCATCTGACACATAACATTTGATTCCACCCACAATATTGCCTTTACCTTCCCAACCTTGGCAA